TTTTTCTTAAACGGTTAACCCTAGAAAATTTTACTTCAATCCTTTTTGTATTCGTCGGATAAATAAATCTTCAAAGTTGCATTTTCCTTGATTCAAACGTATCAAGTTTCTTCAGCTATGTTTTCTTCCTTTTTGATAGATCCTCCAACTTGGTGCATGATCCACGTCAGCTCTTTTTGCCACGTTACTTTCGTTCTTGTGTTGGAACAGCTCCGCATGTGTTCCAGCAACTCGTATCTTGTTGCAACAAAAGCTTCTCTTTCACAAACTACATGATACTTAGCAAAATACAAACTAAATGATACTAAGGATAAATGGTAACTAGTAGTACTAGATTCCAAGGTAAGTAGATGGTCTTGATGGTGGAGTTACCTAAGCATTGTGACTTGCCAAAGACTGAACAATTTTCTCCATGGATTCAAATCTTCTATGAAATTCCAGTTTCTCTTCACGGCTTTGTTTTAGTTCTACTTCTACCTCTTGGAGCCGTTGTGTTATCATCTCATTTTCTTCAGAAGGTTGTTGTGCACTTGAAGAAGCCTCAAAAGCTGGTAAAACCTCGTTGCGCAAGGCTCCAAGTCCAAAGACATCGCCTTGTTTAGATGAACCAGCAGAAGTTTATAACAAACGACCAAATAAGTGAGCAAACATAGAAAGGACAACTAAATCTATATTCATTATGAATAAGCAACTACTAAGCCACAACAACAATGCATCACAACTAAAGAAACATATATATTTCCAGAATTTGATGGTATAGAATCTACATATCATAGATCGATTATTCATTATTTCAGTTTCTATAAAGGAGAAAAGCTGTCAATGACGTAACTAATTGTAGATATTCATCTAAACAATCCATTTTAAAATCAATTCAATATACAGTTTTTACTAAAGAAATAGTTTTTGCTAAGGTTTGATGAATTTTTTTACGGAGTTAAGGCAACTGGAATTTGTAACATCTTTTCTATTTAATGGTGCATATATCTGTGTTGGTGCATATGTTATTTAAATTGGG